GGAAAGGTGCTTCCCACCCCCAAACAAGTCTCACGTTCAATTTCTTTTCAGGATGTTTCTTTCTTATTTTACTGGCATCTTGCAACAAAAGTAAAAGCTGTAAATAACAAACACATACAATTCTATCTACTACTTTTCATTGCAAAACAATTGTCCCAAGCAGTGTGAAGGCCCCTACCCCAAAGTGGTTTTGTTTCTTAATTTACATTTGAAACCTGATGATTGATTATAACTTGATTGCTGATCAAAGAACATGGTAAAGGACAACGACAAATACGTGTACTGTGAATAACACCAAAAAAACCCCAAGCCCCCACAAAAAGCACCCACAACACAAAAACAGTTAAAGAATACAGCCAGTTTTATGACAACAATGAAGGCAATGATTGGAAAATCAAGATATTTTCCCAGAAGACCTCCCTCACAGGAAACCCTTTGAAGTTTAGTTAAGATAAGATTTGGATGCTTCAACTTAATCTCTGGGATATCTGCAACATGCACATTGTACTGGCAGGTATGACACAAAAAGGACCCGCAGGAGGTTCATACCATAGCAGAGGATAACTGACAATGTCTACAGTGCAGGAGACATTGATGCTCAGGCACCTGAACCCCATTTGTAATGTCAGGAAATCACATATCCCATTATTCATTTGCAAACTGAATTGAAAGGTGTATGGATGCTAACATGTTAACCAACAGCTCCTCCCTATCTTCTGCAGATGAATCGGTAATTTGGAACCAACACTAGTTCCACTCTGTGACAAAGCTCCCTCTAAAGAAATTACGGTTGAGCATTACTTAAAGTTAAACTAGACTTGAAGGAATAGGGGGATAACATCAGGCTTGCCCATGACAAGCTGTGGGACGACACGCCAAGGTTAAAGGGAGCAAGACTGCTGGCCTAAGGCTTTTAAGAGGGGAATCAGTCCCAAGAGGAACATCACGGTAGGGCTGGGTGGTATTAATCTCACTTAACTTTAGGGGTTTACGTCTGACCTAGTTACCATAGGCTCTTTTTATGGTTAGCAAAGGCCTCACTAACTGAGTCCCTAAATCATAGCGCACAGGCCATCTGACCACGTGCAGGCGTATCTTCTGGTATGAACTCTGCACCAAGTTCGACAGGCTTTACAGTGACTTACTCAAATAGAGATGCTTACGCTATAGCTATTTCATATGTGGACAGTTATTTTAGGGGGAAAATCCACAAAGTATCTCCGATGGCTGACTTCAACAAGAAGGCCCAGCACAGTGAATGAAGATCCAGTGATATAGCAAAGTTTACAGAGAAAACAAGAAATACTTCATCATAAATCAACTAGCTAGTCAGAAAAAACACAAGGGAGGGAAACACTTCATCCTTTTTATAACCACTTCAATGCAAATGAAGGGAGATGGGAGACTGACAGTAGGCCTGTACTGGCACTGCTGGATTAAAAGCAAATTTATGACCAACAGTGTTCATATACAGGTGACATACATACTGACATGCCCAGGAAAAATCTCTAACTCCCACATCTTATCTACTAAAATAGGTACCAAAATTCAATCAGAAGCAAAAAAATAATTTTGCCACCGCATATATTCATTTTAAAATGAAGTTTCAACTGCTAAACAGTATTTGATTACAAAAACTCCCTAGTGGGAATAGAAATAATGGATTACATTTAGCTTCAGTAGCCAGTTTATTAAGCCACTTCTCTTTGATGCAGACTGAACAGCAGTTTTCAAAAATTTAGTCAGTATAAGGTCTTTCTCCAGCATGCTTACATCGTGGCTTCAGGTGTTTTCAAGGCAACGCTGCTTCCATATTCCCACCCTTTTCCTTCATTGCTGCCATCAGTCAATACAGTGAACCAGGCAATAAAACGGATAACGTTTAAACATTAACCTTCCTTGGATGGGTCAATTTTAATCTAGATCAGTTTCTTAATCCAGTTTACCAAGCAGCTGCACATGTGCATGCTCACGTAAGGAGAGATACAATAGGACAGAAGCAGGCACAACCAATCGTTTCAGCCTCTAGATGTCCGGATTGCTCAAATCACAGTATATTTATCTTATATATACACAAATACATTTGCGTAGATACTGGTAGGATTATCTATTCTGACTAGCTGTACCAACGAGCTGAGGAATTTCCCTCTGACAAGCCTGCATCTTCTCATTGATCTGCAATGCTTCCAAAAGGCATTTTAAGAAGCACCAATAGCATCATTCCCACTGCAAATACTGCCCATTCTAATAAAAAAAAAAAAAACCAAACATGCAGGGCTTTCCTTACCTTTTATTGAACTCCTCAAGTTCTGCTCTCAGTTTTCCTATTTCAATCTGTAATCTAGCCCTCTCTTTGGCAGTTTCATCCAGAACTCTTCGAGCATCAGCCAGTTCAGACTCATAGAGACTCTTGATTCCACTCACCTAAGGGGAACGAAGTATTCAGATGTGAGAACATCCCAAAGACTGAAACACAGCGCCAGGTTTCAAATAGCTTTCTTGGAAAAAAGGGTGTACGATATGATTTCTGTGGTTTAAGAACATTCTATACCAAACATTTTCAATTAATATGCACCTACAATTAGATGTGATCTAGTCCCAAAGACAAGATTTATTTTTTATTCCCAGCAGGACATAACAAAACATGCTATGTTTGAAGTGCACAAGTCTTCCAACGAGATAAATCAAAGCAGGTCAGTATACCCTACAATCCGATCTTAAATTATTCACCCTCATTTCCAACACTGCTGCTTTGGGAGATTTTTTTTAAGCAGTAATATCACTTAAAGAGAAATGATGATAGACTTTTGTGGAATACAGGTCCGAGGCCCAATTTGACTCTGCCGCTCTTGCACTATAAAGCTAAAAAGACCCTGAAACTACAGAAATATGACCTGTTCAGAGATGAGCTTCCACTCCTGTTCTCTTCCTCAGAGGATACGGATCTACAGACTTCTCCCTGTCCCAACTCAATATATCACATAATCAGCTATCCAGAGTGCAGCAAGGCACCTCAAAGTCTTCCACACCTTTATTTTTTTTTAAAACGCAAGGTTATTTGAAAGGTATATCAGATAGCTAAAACACCAAGACCGTATCAGATTGCTGCTATTGCTTCTATGAAAGGATACCAGAACAACTATTACTAATGTAAATTCAGAAACAGAGCAATCAGGGAGTGAGAAGAGCCAAAAGCAGAACGTACCAACTTTAGGAAGAAGAATTTTGTAACGAAGCATAAAATGTAGAAACAAGAAAGCAAACTGTGCTATTCCTAGGAGCGCCTGTTTCAACATCAGAGTGGCACCAATGACAGACTCAACCATCTGGTCTTCAAAAAGACTGATTAAAAGCACTCAGGATATAATTAAGTTCCTGATAGACTATAGTCTCATAAACCTTCTGTAATTAACTAATATATGACAGTATGAGGGCTGAGAAGCCTTAGTTTACAAGCAAACCACATAACAGAAATTACTTGACTATCTATCCATGCAATCTTACTTCTTTTCTTCAAAGAATTAATTCTTTCAAGCTTTATTCAACTTATGCTTTGGGTTGGGTTTTTTTGGTTGGTGATTTCCCCCCCATAGCTGATAGCCAGATGTTGTCTATGGCACAAGCCAACACAACTCTCTATTATCAGTTACAAAATTTAGGAAGTCCTACGAAGTGTACCATGACTACGCTAAACTCCTCCATACAGCACTCCACAATGCCACGAAAAAAAATTGGAGATTTTAAGGCTGTAAAGCCTTTCATTATGGATGACCCTTGAGTGAAAATACAGTATTTGCAAATTGCAATACAAAACACAATTGCCAAAAGGCCAAGCACTGATTCTGCACCATGAGGTACTGCATCTACAACACCCCTTCTCTAACGCTTGCCCTTCTTCGGACCATCTGCCCTTCAGCTCTTCTGTGTGCCAAAATCCTCACCCTAGGACATCTACCAGGAACTCGGGGCTGTATGGCCGTAGGTTCAGAGAGGCACACTAAACCACGGTGCAGGACACAAGGACAAATCCCTTCCCAGTACTCCAGGGCATAAACTGGAATCGCATGTCAAGGTACAAAGGAAGAAAGCCTTTTTCCCTAGGTTTTTGTGCATACTGTCACAAAAAGATGTTGCTGCTGTGATACAACAGGCGGTAAATAATTTATGCTTTTGAGGCATTACAGACAATACAGAGCTTAACAACACTGAAACAACAATATTCTGAACAGAGAATAAACACTTAATGCAATTCCTGTGGAGAGAGAATATAGCTAGGTGGAGCGGTCGCAGTTTAACCCCAGCCAGCAACTGAGCCCCACGCAGCCGCTCGCTCACTGCCCTGCCCCCCCCGGTGGGATGGGGGAGAGAATCACAAGAGTAAGAGTGAGAAAGCTCGTGGGTAGAGATAGACAGTTTAATAATTGAAAAAGTAAGGCAGCAGTAATAATAATAATAATAATAATAATAATAATAATGTACAAAGCAAGTGATGCACAATGCAATTGCTCACCACCCACTGATTGATGCCACGCCAGCCCCCAAGAC